TGCATCATTTAATTTAGCTAGATCTGTAGCCACATTGACAGAAACTATCTTAACTGAAGACACACTACGCTCTAAGTTTAGGAAACAGTACAAACCAGGTTTCTACTACACCGTTATCAACATTTTTCCCTATGGCCAGGCTGACAAATGTACGGTAATACCGAATCCAACACTGAATATAACTCCAAGTGTTTATCATATTATAAAATGCCTAACAGTCAATTTAAAATTGAAAAATAAAGCCTAAATACAAGGAGGAAACTGTGTCAACATTCTAATTTTGTTCAAAAACCTTGTATTTTAGAACAGCTTGTTTTTCCTTTTTTCTTTAATCAAGCCCTGTTGTTAAAGTATTTAAAATTTCCTGAAATCTCATTTTTTCTTCCAAGTTTAATCAATCCTTTTTGCCGATTGGTACCAGATAAGATTATTGTATCTATGTTATTATCTGGAGATTAAGAAGAGGGAACTAAAATCTGCATTTGGATATAAAAGACATGTACTAATTAAAACAAAGCTACCAGAATAAGTCATCTCTACAGAAAACATGGATTAATATCCTTTTTTTTCCTTTAAAAAAAAAAAANAAAAAAAAAAAACTAATAATAATAATGCAATACACCTTAAAGTTTTAAATTGTTAAAATGAAGAATCATAATATGATAACAGAGAGTATCAAAGTTTAAAAGGTGTGGGCTTTATCCCAGGCCAGCATGTCAGCACTAAACCATGAGGTTATCATATTATAACATGGAGAGCAGTTGTGATACCCTGCCACCATGCACTGTGAGCTCTCCTGGGCGTCATTTTCACCCGTGACTTACGAGATTTTCCGGTTTGAAGCCTCATCATCATCAGTGTGTAAACTGAAGCTGCTCCAGAGGCAACCGGGGAGAAGCAGCTCTGGTGGCATTTGAACTGAAGATAATCAGGCAGAGAAACCAATCTGGTGGTGGTGTAAGAGATGAATGGAACCAGAGGAAGAGGAGACAGCAGGATGAGAAAAGACAAAGTAAAGAAGACGACAGTCAGAGATGAGATGGCGGAATAAAAAAGAACAACAACAAAAAGAAAGCCAAAAAGTGAAGGTAGTGTGGGAAGCACAGAAAGAAAGGGGAAAAGAGAAGGAAGAGGAAGAGAAAAAAAATGTAAACAATCTTTGGGTATATGAAAAGCAACATGTACCATATGCCTATACTTCTGATTGTTGTTTTTATAAGTCACAGATGTGATCCAATGACCAAATA